AGGCACGATGACCTGGAGCTTGGAGAGCCAAGCAAAGCATGCAGAGGCAGGAGAGAAAGCAGGACAGAGAGGGAACTGTCTTGGGGCACCGACAATCTTGACTGCGCCTCTAGAAATGCTTCAGAAAGACTGGGACCCTGACCAAGCACCAGGGACCTGGCACTTCTGAGAAATCTGCGGTGTCTTGGCAGCAGCTTTCCTGTTAGCACAGGGATACCTACAGACTCCCCCCCCCCGCCATGCCACCCCAATCCTTGGGCAGGAAGGCTACAGTTCTTTGTGAAGGCCATGCCTGTGCACCAGGGGAAAGGAAGTGAGATTGATTAGTGATGCCTGCTGTGGTCAGCATCAGGGGTGATGGCAAGATCCACACCATTAATTTGCCTTCTCTGATTCCAAGAGAGCTGTCTCCACACAAGAGCCCTCTGTTCTGAGGCTGAGTCTAAAGCAACAACTTCCTACAAGGAGTAAAAATGCTTACAATACGGCAAGTTCTGTGGGGCCTCCAGATTTGAGATAAAACTGGCAATGAAAGCCCTGAAGAATTGTTCTGTTTTCCCACTCACGTTGTCTCCTAACAGCCTGAAGGACTGAATAAGGAGTGTGAGAAGGGGCTTTAATCCATGTCCATATCCTGGAACACCTGCCCTAAAAGAACCTCTATCCCTGGGTCCCTTTACAGGTAGGAAGTGTAGGCCCTTCCCTCAGCCACTGCCCTCGGTCTGGTCAGGGCTCTGCTTTATTTTTCCAACCTTCCCCAGGATTTATCTGCCCTTAGCTCCAAGGCTTTTCTAAAACAGTGCAAACTGTTTACTCACCTGGGAACACAAGCATTCATAAAAAGGAAGGGGAAAACGTTGTTAGTATGTCTAAAAAGGAGTCTCTCACCCGGTGTGTGGCTCGCAAAAAAAAGTTTCTGTGATTGTCTGGTCACTCCCTTGAAGGCATCTTCTGAAGAGCAAAAGATTTTAGGTTTGATCATGCACAGGGCATCTCTTCTTTTGTCCCTTATGCTTTTGTGTTATATCTAAGACAACAGTGCCCAATCCATGATCATAAAATTTACCCTATGTCTTATTCTAAAATTACTATAGCTTTTGTTTTTGCCACTTAGGTCTTAGACCCTATCCTGAGCTGTGTGTGCGTGTGTGTGTGTGTGTGTGTGTGTGTGTGTGTGTGTGAGAGAGAGAGAGAGAGAGAGAGAGAGAGAGAGAGAGAGAGAGAAATAGATGGAGGTCTGAATTCATTCTCTTGCATGTGGCTATGCTGTTATCCCATCACCAACTGTGGAAAAGACCATTATATCCCTCACTGAAAGGCAGAATATCGATTAACTGTAAATGCAAGGGCAGATTTCTGTTCTCTGCATTCTACTCCAGTGATCTATCTGTATATCCTTATATATTTATCTGTATATAGAAATATCAATTACTCTAACTTTCAGTAAGTTTTGATATCAGAAGACATGAGCCCTTACTTTTCTTTGTTTTCAAGAAATCATTTGGATGTTCTGTGTTCCCCGAATTTATGAAAAAATTAGGATAGCTTGCCAGTCTCTGCAAAGAAGCCAGCTATGGATTTGATGTGGATTTTGCTGAATCTGCAGGACAATCTGGGCAGTGTTACAGGTGACGTGCAGTCTTCTAATCCATGGGCAAGGGGCATCTTTCATCTGATTAGGTCTTCAACTGCTTCCAACAATGTTGTGTAGTTTTCAGTGTAAATTTTGCACTAGTTGTTGTATTTATCTCAAAGTGTTTTATTCCTTTTGATGATATAAGTAAAATTGTTTTTTAAATTTCATTTTTGGTTTGTGGCTGTTGCATAGAAATAAAATTGATATTTACATGTTGACTTTGTATTCTGCAACCTTGCTGAACTCATTAATTCTACTCATTTTAGTGGATTTCTTAGGGACTTAGATAATAAAAGATCACATTGTCTTCAAACCGATAAAGACTTACTTCTCTTCAAACTGGATGGCGTTTGTTTATTTAGGTATTTATTTTGCCTAATTGCCCTACCCAGAACCTTTAGTACAATGTAAAATAAAAATCGCAAAAGTGGACATTCTCTCTTCATTCCTGAACATAAGGGAAAGTGGTCAGGCAGTGATGCTAGTGGAAGATTTTATACACGCACCCTTTGTTAGTTTGAGGAAGTGCCCTTCTATTCTAGATCATTGAGTATTTTGTTTACTGGGAAATGAGACTGGATATAAATATACATAGTCTGAGACTTCTGGGATGAATATATGACTTGGTTTTATTCTGTTGATATGCTATATTATATTAGTTGGGGTTTGTTTGTTTGGGGGGGTTTGTTTTGCTTTTTTTAAGGGGGGTTACACTGAGGATAGAACCCAGGGCCTTTGCACCGAACTACCTCTCCAGACTACTTAATTTTATTTTTGAGATTAGGAGCTTGCGAAGTCACCACGTACCCAAGCTAGGCTCAGAGTCATGAGCCCCATGCCCCAGCATAAAGAGTGCTGGATTACAAGTGTGCACCACCATGCCAGGCTGTGTTAATTGTTTTTGGATGTTCAACCTAGACTGCACTCATAGGATAAATCTCACTTGACTGTGATTTACAGCCCCGATGAATCCATACTGCTGGTATTTTTTTGAGGATTTCTGCATCTGTATTCATAAGTAATATTTGCCTGTAGTCTTCTTTTCTTGTGATCTCTTTTGGTAGGGTATCACTCACCCCGCAGTTCATGTGGCTGCCAATTCTACCACCTGGGATGTCCAAGAGCACCGTCCCAGCCACTGCTCAGCATCTGGTGAGGGCAGTCTGCTTGCATCACTATATGGCAGAGGACATCACACGATCATGATGACACAGAGAAAATATGGCAGCCCATGTTGCTGTCCTTCAGAAGCCACTAATATCATCAGGGGCCCCATCCTCATGACCTCATGACCTTCCAAAAGCTCCACCTCGAAACACTATTAGCATATGAATTTTGCTGTTAACTTTCCAATACAGAGTACAACCTGATCCTCTAACACCCCGAACTCTGTTTCTAATCTGTGATTGTCCCCAAAGCATCACTAAGATTTTCTTTTCAGAAAAGAGCTGCACACTTAGGTCTCCAACTCTTAGTGTCCTAAAACACCTGAAAAGCTTTGAAATACATGTTTTCCTTTAAAAGATCAAATTACTGGGCAGGGTTTCCATTGGATAATAGTCCACTGCCTAAAACAGGTTGAGGATTATGTATTCAAACTGTAAAATCCCGCTCTTCAAACTTATGTCAAATAATCTTACAAATATGTTCCCATCAGTGTTTCTCCCTCTTGATGAAAATTTTACTCCTTTATTCATCCAAACCATCTCTAGTGGTGTCCCTTTCCAATTTAATGTTCCACATGACTCAGTCACTATAAAAAATACCAGAAAGAACTAACTTCTAAAGAGAAAGGGCTTACTTGGGCTTATAGTTTTGGAGGTTTCGGTCTGTGGTCAGTAGGCTCAATTGCTTTTGGTATCCATGGGAACGTGGTGTGTCAAGTGGTATATCATGGGGCACATGGGCAGGAGGGGGGCTGCCAGCCTGTTGCCAGAAATGAGAGAAGGGTAAGGAAGGGGCGGGGCTCCCAGATTTCCTTCAAGGACAGCTCCTGTGACCAAGTTTCTGCTACTCCCCCCACCATATCACAAAGCTGGGGACAAGCTTTTTACACAAAGGCCTCTGGGGGACATATAAGATCCAAACTCTACCATGTAGGCCATTTCATGAGGAGTTTTTGTAGTGTTTTTATTTACATTCTGCTCAGAGCATTCGTGAACATAATCATTTCCGAGTAGAGATGTTGTTGATTATGCAGGAATAACCAGTGACAGCTACTGCCATCTTGAAATACTTAATAATTTTATCTAGAACTTGTGTTTTTTAAGGGAGGTCCCTCAGAACAAGGGAGCAGGAGCTCAAGTTGCGGAAATATGGGCCACACACATGTCCACTGCCATTTCTAGAGCTCACAACTTGCTGTGAGCACAGAGCTCCCTGTGGGCCCACAAAGGGGGGACCAACAAGATCTAGAGTAAGCAGAAGGTCAGCTTGGCACAGCCGCCCCTCGACCCTAGAACCTGAACTTGCTTTAAATGCAGGAAGAAAGCAGCAGAGTCTCAGGAAACACCCAGGAAACTTGTCACAACCTTTCTGACCCACAATTGCTTTTTTACTTTGTCTTTATTAGTCGAGTCTAAGGCGCAGTGTTGGTAGAATATGTGCATACAAGAAGTGCCATAAAAACAGCCGAGCTCATTTTGTGCAGCATCTCCACAGCTCTAATAAAAAAACGCACATGTCTGTGCCAGGTATGAAATAGGAATTTCGGAGTTTCTGTGCCTCTGATGAACTCAGTGCCTCATTGACGTATTTAAAACTGGCCTTACACAATATAAAGATGGATAGTAAAATTCATCCACATAATTTAAGTTTTTAATTTTTCTTTATTTAGAATAATGTTTTTTTTTTTTTAACATTATGGAAAGTTAGGAGGAAAAACAGAAGGAAAAAGGGCTTTTCTTTTGCTCCTAGTTACTGAGCTCAGGGCCTTCCCACTGGGCTACATTCCCAGCCCCCGTTTTATGTTTAATTTGAGACTGGGTCTTACTAAGTCACTAAATAGACCACACTGGAATGAAACGTGTGTTCCTCCTGCCTCAGCCTCTCGGCAGGGCCAGGAGTGGTGCTCTTTGTATTAAAAAAACACATCAAGATTCAAAGAAACATCTCACTGTGCCTCTGCTGCAACTTTTAGTATTGAAAACGTATTATTCTCACGTTATCCAGGGTCATGGGCACCCTCACCCTCGTACCAGCTCCCAAACCGAGCGCAAACACAAGCCCTCCCTTTGAGATTCACGCCGGAAGCCCGCGAGTCCTCCAGAACACCAAGAGCTCAGTCAGAGCGCCAACACACCTTTCCGGGCCACGGTGACGTCGCAGGACGCGCCGGAACTGATTGTGCGCCTGCGCGACGGCGTTTACTGGCGAGGATGCTATACGTCATCGCGGGCGCGACGCCCCAGGGACAGTCTGGAGTCTGGCTGTCTGGAAGGTGCGGCGGCGAGACCGGCCGGGAAGATGCCAGTGGCGGTGATGGCGGAAAGTGTCTTCAGTTTCAGAAAGTTGCTGGATCAATGCGAGAACCAGGAGCTCGAGGTAGCTTTTTGCGTGGCGCAGGGAGAAACTTTGCCGCGCCCCCAGGCACAGGGCGGCACCGGTTTCTAGGGTAACGGGAGCCGGGGTGGGGGGCCTCGGGTGGGGAGCCGAGCTGGCAGGGGAACCCCGGCCCCCGAGGCTGCACAGACCCGGAGGGGTCCCGGCCGGTCTGCCCGAGCTAGTCTACAGGTTTCTGTTGGTTTTGTGAGCCCGAAGTTCCCGTACATCTTTAACAGCTGCCAGTGTACTTCTAGGTTTATCAGACATTTTCCCGGCCTCTGTCTGGGCCAAAGAAGGCAGGCTGTGGATTTTAGTAAAGGCTCGTGTGCAGCCAGACACCCCTGCCCACATAGAGAACAAGGAAGAATCCTTTCTAGCTCAGAAAGCCCTTGTGAGTCTTGTAATGTTGTAATCAAGCGTGTTTGACATTTTATCCGTAATAAGACACCTAGAAAGCTGTTCAAGCTTCTTAAACGCCTAAGCATTTATAACGTTAGTATAGTTACAGGAGACAATGGCTAGAAACAGCAACTCGCTAATAGACACTTCATTTCTTTTCTAAATGAATTAAAATTGCACTAGGAGAGATGTTTTTGTCATTCAGCTGTGGGATTTTCCCGTTATTTATATAGATACTTAGAATGCTTGATATAATAGGCAGAGTCATAACGTTTTAGGAATCTGTTGAGAGTTTGTTTCCTAAAATAGTTAGATTATGTAAGTACAAATGGGAGAACGAGGAAAGGGACTTCATGTAAATACTCTTGTATATATAATGAAATTGCAAGTAGAAGGGACATAAATAACAGCTGCTGACAGATCTAAATTTAGTATTCTGGGTTTTACTGTTTGGTGTTTCTCCAACCTGTTGACTACGTCTAAACTAGTATATAAGATGGGCTTACTTGTTAAATTATCGTTAATGAAATATTGTTTCTATGAAAGAAAAAAGCAAATGGGTTTTTCTCTCATTTTGGGCCTCCTAGGCTCCTGGAGGAATTGCCACGCCCCCAGTGTACGGTCAGCTCCTAGCGTTGTATTTGCTCCACAATGACATGTGAGTGCCTTTTACCTGCAGCTCCAGGCAGCAGCTTCTCCGAGTTATGCAGAAATCATTGTAATTTGAAGCAGAGCAACAAAAGTATAGGCTCGATGAACTGTTTGTGTGTTTGTGTTTGTGTGGTGTCTGTTATATCTATTTCCTGTTAAATCGTAATGAATTATTATAGTTACTTTAAAAATCTATTTCTTTTACATAGCACTTCTTTTAAGAATTTCAGTTTGACTGAGAGACTACAGTATCAGTATTTTTGAATCTTTTTTGTCACCTCAGTTTACTTATGATCAATAAATGAAAAGAAGCTGAAAGGGAAGACCCAGAAAGCCAAGAGGAATGCATTACTAACATGTGTGAGATTTCTTAGAATTTTTTTTTTTAATTTCTATTCATTTTGGCTAAGGAAAATTCAGGAAACACAACTGTTAAAAGAATCTCCTGTAGGTCTAGGACCTATAAATGATTCCTGACAAAATTTTGTTTTAAATTCTTATAAATTCTTTTTTATGTCTTTTTAATATCTACACTGAGATTTATATTACACGTGTATCAAAGATTATTTCTTTTTTTTTGTAATCTCATTATCATATGTTTGTTCCAGTCTCTTAGAAACTCTTGTTGTTGGGGGTTTTAGGGGCTCTGTATTTACAAGAAAGAAAGGTCCTTCAAAGGGGTATTCAAACTATACAGTGAATGTTTACAATTACAACAAAAGACTAAAACATCCCCTTCATTCTTATCCTTTCTTGTTGTTGTTGTTGTTGTTGTTGTTGTTTTGTTTTATTTTGGTATGGGGGATCGAACTTGGGTCCTTGCACTTCAAGGCAGGCAGTGGAACCACTGAGCTAAATCCTCAGCCCTCTTATCCCTTTCTGAAGTAGTTCTGAAAAGCCTTTTTCATGAATGTCTTTACAAAGCTTTGTTAAAAATATGGTGAGGGCTGCTGCCTATTGCCATCCAATGAAAAAGCAACTTGTAAAAGCATTGGTGCATAGCCTCATGCAGATCCTTATTTAGGATCTGGCACCATGCGACTTCTGGATCTTCCCCAACATCAAAATGACCATGAAAGAGAAACATTTTGAATTGGTTCAAGGCACCGAGGCAGCTGTGACAGCACAGCTTCTGGCGCTCACAGAAGCAAACTTCCAGAGCTGCTTCAAAAAGTGGCAAAAATGATAGGATGAGTGTGTGAAGTGAGGGGGAGGAGTTTGACGGGAGGAATGGCAATGGGTCTTTTACTGTAATGTTTTTAATGTAATCATTCACTGTATATTTTTTATCAGACTTCATCGTCAGAGCGTGCTAGCACTTTCTTAAGCACATACCCTTGTTTATGTGTCTGAATGAATTGTGTGGGCAGTTTTGTATAATCTGCGTGTTTAGTATACTATTGCTTTAATTTGGGATCTGAATCATTAATTTTAAGAATTCAGTAAAAATGGCAGAATGACTTTGACACATATATTCTGTGTCTTTTTAACTGGAAAACCACTTGAATTTTCCCAGAATAAACTCAGACAAAATGAAGTTTTCCTCTATATCATAAAGTGTATTTCATACTATTCTTCTACATGTTTGCATGGGGACGCAGTAATTTTAACTATTCATTGGCATGATTTTTTTCTAATTGACTATTCTTTATATAAATTAGGAATAATGCAAGATATCTTTGGAAAAGGATACCACCTGCTATAAAATCTGTAAGTCATCTTTCAGTACATTTTTTTGGGGTTTAATAAAGTTGTAACACTCACTAACAGGGCAGCCTCTCATACATTCCTATTTTCTTTGTGATAGAAATGGTCATAACCAGCATTTACATCTTTTGATTTTTCTAACCAGAAGTTTAAATCTCCGTGAAATAGTAGAGAAGCGTATGTCCCCCTCTTACTGATCAGATTGCCTGAGACATGTCTTAGCAGCACAGGCTTCGTCAGACCCCAGGTTAGGTGTAGGAGGGGTGGCAGTGGCAGAGTTGTGGTGATTCTCACCAACCGTGTGGCCTTCTGTAATGGTACTTATTCTGAAACTGCTAATGTTTCTAGAAATGTTCTTGAAGTGAATATTCACAGCATTAAGATAGTTTTGCTAATTAGAATTTTAGATTTCTATTTTGGATGGAAGATTAGATGCAATAACCCATGAAAAGTTCCTTGCACAGTGGAGTAAAGTGCATGTGTAATTTGAAGTGACAATCTCTTCCTTAGTAAGGTTAGACTATTCCTTAGCTTACTTGACGAAGGAAGAGCTGACCAAGCACAGTGGCGCACAGCTATGATCCCAGCCACTTGGGACGCTGAGGCAAAAGGATCACAATTTGGAGGCCAGCCTGGACAACTTAGAACCTCTTTCAAAATAAAAAATCACAGGGCTGGGAATAGCTCAGTGGTAGAGCGCCTGTGGGTGCACTCCCCAGTATCGCCAGAGAAACAACAACAAAAACAGAACGAACTGTCTACTCAGGCCATAGTACATGGCATCTCAGTTGACTGCTGGTGTTAACCAGTTTGCTTTTTTGTCCTGGATGTACGTATTAGATATAAATGACAAAAATAAATGCAGCATCTTTAGAAACAACAGTGCTTAAGATAATCAGTCCCCAGCATAATTCTGAAATATTTTTAGGCTACTTTCTTGTGCTTTAATTTGTTACTGTTATAAAAATAATTTGTTACTGTTATATGTGTCAGAGGTACAGATATTTTACATTACTACTTGCCACATGTAAAAACTTTGTTGATAGTAGATGATGTATTGTCTCTCTCAACAGAAATGTTGAATTATGTCCTTAATGACACAGCTAATACATTTTATTCTATCACGTGTGGTTTTGTTTTGACATAGAGTCATTGGTAAATTGCAGAATGGCTACCTTCAAAGGCAGTAATATGTATTGCAGGCGAATTCTGAACTTGGAGGAATTTGGTCAGTCGGACAGAGAATCTGGCAGAGAGATTTCCCTGGAATCTATGCGACCATCAATGCCCACCAGTGGTCTGAGACGGTGCAGCCAATCATGGATGCACTCCGAGGTAGTATTTCTGTGTGGTCCAGAATCACACTGGGCCAGACCTCTTCCTTACAAATTCCTGCCAGTGTGATCCACTGTAGGACCATGCATGACTGTCCTATGCCACCTGATGGTTCTCTTAGAAAACTGAAATGGCAAAAATGGAGAGAGGCTGGTGAGAGAACTGTTTCCCAGGACACCAGCATGGCTGAGGCTGTGGCCGTTCTCACCCCCGGCCTACACCCCAGACAAGGGCTGAGTTGGACTGGCACAGTGGTGCCCAGCTGCCCACGGGAGCTGGGTGTCTAGGCCAGCAGGAGTGAGGCAGGGATGACAGAAAGAACAAGTATCCTGACCTTTGCTTCTGGCCACTGACCTTGGTGGAGCCCACCCACCAGGCAAGGGAGCCACAGTGCTATGGCCATTGGCACCCCCCTCCCCCATACAGCACGGCATAGTGGGCAGAGAGGGTTGAGCATGGTGAGACACCAGCCAGCTCTTCCTTCTGTCCCCAGCACTGCCAGTGAGCGGTTCCGGATGAGTGATAAGGCACAGAAGGATTTGTTGGGCAGCAGAGTTAGCATTCTGTCTGGAACTCTGTTTTTGGTGAGAATTGTTCCATGTTAAACTGGCACAGATGTTAGGTGCCGGGTCTGTTGAGCCTCCCTTCTGACGTGGTATTGGAATGCATTCCTCCCTGAGGTCACCAACCACACAGCCCAAGGGTCCCGAAGTGAAGATCAGTCACTCATACCCAGTGGTTCAGAGCAGCCTGAATGCTAGTGGCCTTTGCTGGCACTGGGAATGCCTGACTTCATGCTTGCTTCCTTTGCCAGCCTGCTCCTGTTTCCCGTTTTCTGGTCATAATGCTTTCTGCTTCTCTTTGGCCCTGCTGGCTCTTGCCACCCTTCGCTTTCTATTCTATTCTCCACTCTAGAAATTGGACCAGGATATTTGAACTAAAGCAAATGTGTTTAATATCAGAGGCTTGCCAGCCTACAGTAGCTTACGATATGCACTTTTATGCTCCTCTTCTGTTACTTCAGCTCCTCTCTGTGAACTGTCTGTAGCCTTCCATATGTCTGTGGGATATTTTAGAGTCCGTTTAGCTAGGTTGTCTGCTGGACATGGAGGGAAGAGCAGATAATCATGGCTCACAGACCTGGAGGCTGTCAGGCTCAGCAGGAAGTGAAGGGAGTGCAAGTATCCGTAAGCTGAAGACGGGGGTCATGGCGGCACACACCTCACTGGGGATGTATGCCTGGCATATTTGGATTGTAAACATAATGCCATTGATTTAGAGCAGGCACAGCTTGTTATGGATTGCAGTGCTGTAGGAAGTTCATAAACAGACCGAGAGGGGGGCTGTCAGGCCACTGAATAGGGTAAACCCCTAGTGTAAAAGGGTGAAACTTTGTGTGCTCTTGCCCATCTGGTATGGAAAGTAAACTCCCGGGTATTTCCACAGCGTGTTGGCACCTTAGTGAAGAAGCCCTCGTGTTACAAAAGTGCACCCAACTGGAAGACAGGCTGGCAGGGCCCGAGGGAGCTTTCTCATACCAGGAGTCACTTCATGTAGCTGTGTAAGCTCCAAATGCTCTTTGGAGGGAAGTTTTTGTGCCTGGTGGCTGGCAGCCTCTTATTGGAATTGGCCATTCAGTGTTGGAACTTAGGATTTTGAGCCTAAGTGAAAGTAAGAGTTTGATGCATGCTTGGGAAGTTAGAGAGCATGCTCTAGTTTTGTGTCTTGCAGCTCTCTGCTGTGACCCCCTAGTAGAGACCTTCCTGAGAAGAAATAGGTTTACTAATCCATTCTTCCCAGTGTTTGTAAGTGAAAGACAAAACTAAAAGAACTATATCCCAAATGCATACATATGTTTGTATTGCTCAGCTTTCAGTTTCTGGTACAGAAAACCTGACGTGTACACTTTAAAGGAGGAAATGTTTATTTTGACTCATGGTCTCAGATGTTTTTAGTCCATGGGTAGCTGGCTTAGTGGCAGAAATATAGTAGAAGGGCTTTGTGGGGCTGAGCTCATGGCCACCAGGAAATAGAGTGTGGAAGAGCCATAGAGTCAGGACCAGGGGCCAGGTATAAGGGAGTCCCCAAGGTCACACCCCTTTGGCCACCCAGCCACACCCAGAGGTTGCTGTGCTGACTTCCCAGGCATCTCAAGCCAACCAAGTTGACAGTCAAGATTAACTAGCACCGTATTTAAGTTACATCTTCTTAGGGTTGGAGTCTTATGTATATTAACTGCTTTCTATCTTTGTAACTTTGATTGCTGTCTGATCTCAGAGGAAACGTAAGAAGTGTATTTCTTTTTTGTTACCAATATTTGAGCCTCTTACATGTTGGGCACATACATGTGTGTCCAAAGGACAGACACACATACATGTGTGAGCTGATCCAGTCTTATAAAAGAGTGAAAGTAACTATTCTTAACATGCCTGTTGTGTTGTGTCCCCGTCTCTCCCCACACCACCCTCCACTTCCACAAAAGATGCCACAAGGCGACGCGCCTTTGCCCTGGTCTCTCAAGCGTACACCTCCATCATCGCCGATGACTTCGCTGCCTTTGTTGGACTTCCTGTAGAAGAGGCTGTGAAAGGTACTGTTAGCTTCTTTTAACTCCCAGGGGATCAAAAGATAGGTGCAAATTGCAGGCTCACAGTGCCTCCTCTAGAGCTCTCCCAGCTGGATGTTTTAGGGATTCAGGTTGTGTTTGCCCTTTGGGAAGGTAACTCCAGCATGCATTTCGTGCTATCCCCTGGGGTTTTGGACAACAGGCACCTCCTGATCAAACATGCAAGTCTCTCCACAGCAGGCAGATGCGTGACGTCTGCTCAGCTGATTAGCAATATACGCCTTCCTCGACCTTGTCACTGACATTCACAGGCCTTATTTCACCTTGTTCAGTAAGGAAAGTCTCATCCCCACTGCCCTGTTGAGCCCATTCTTTTCTCCCCACTCCTTGCTCACACCCTAGGAGTCTGTACCCCTCTTGCCCACTGTAGAATATTGCTTATGTGTTTGCATTGTGTTAGGATGATTGACATTTTAACTCTGTAACTACAATATGAGTGCTGTCCTGCACCAGATCTTGTCCATAACTCTCTAGGCCCTCACACAATTTTAGACACATAGGAGAATAGGTGGTTGAAGCTTCCTTTTGGGGGAAAGTTAGGGATGAACCCAGGGCCAGGTGCATCTAAGAATTTTCTCTACCACTGAGCCACAGCCCCAGCCCCGAAACACTGATGTGAAGTCATGCTATCCCTTACTCCTGTGTTTGTTTTAGCTTTTCTCTTAAAATTGATCCCCACGTTGTTTCTTATATACACTCTGGAGCCCATATCAGCAGAGTATGTATGAATCCTGCTCACAAAATCAGTCCTCCATGCTAGCCGAGTGACATAGCAAACATTACCACATTTCCCAAACTTTGTTTTTCCACAACAGTTAAATGAAAGGTCTGTGTCCCACTTTGTAGTTATGGTTATCGTATAAAGGGGTCATTCTAAAAATGCTCATCATCTTTGTCAGTACTCATATGATTGTAAAGGGCATTGTATGCATTTTCCTTATGTCTGGTTTACTAAAACTGATTTATTTGATACTTAGTGAAAATTTACCCCGTTAGTGATCATAGCAACCTGGTAGAGTACAGTGACGTTTTGACATGTTCAGAAATATTTCAGAAATAAATTTCCATGTGGTCACATGCTGTCCTTGTACCTTTCTAGTAAAAATATCCCTGACAGGTTGAACTGAGCCTTTTGTGTCTCCCGTGTGAGGAATATTGTGGACAGATTGTGGACCTTTTGTGTTTGTAGTTCACCATTCTGTGAAATCCACATTTCTAGGTATCTTAGAACAAGGATGGCAAGCGGACTCCACCACAAGAATGGTTCTACCTCGCAAGCCAGGTAGGGGGCGCACTTTATCCATTGCTGCAGTGTCTGCTGCTTCAGGTTTTCAGGCCTTGCATTTGAATACTTTGTTACTATACCAAGTGGAAGTTACCCACATTTTAAATATATAGACGGTGGATGCATAGGGCCGACATGCTCTCAGAAGTCACGTAGTTTCACCTTAGTCTCTAAAGATGTATTTCTGTTATAAAAGACCGCGGTATGGTGGTGTTTCACAATCCTTATTAGTACTAAAGTTTTGCTCTCTGTTAATATACCATCATTTTATTTATGGAGCCATTTCTTATTCTTAAGATCTAAACCACTGGCCTTTAAAGATGAAATCTTCAGCTCTTTTCTTCCTTGTTTGGAGTCCTCCAGACACTCTGCTGTGACTCACTTTCACAGGGTTTAACTGCCCTTGCCTTCCTCCAAGGCCGTAAGCCCTGTGACTTGTTCCTGTTGTATCAGTTCAAATTCCTAGCCTCTCTGTTTGGTTTTCTGGGGGGCTTTGTTTTGTTGTGGTGGTTTGAGGTGTCTCACTCTGTAGGTCAGGGCTCCTTAGAAGTCAGGACCCTCCTGTCTTGGCCTCCTGGGTACCGGGATTACAAACATGTTGCTTAGCTGTGCATCGCTTGCCATGAGTTCCTCTGCTACCCGCAGTGTCCACACCCGTAGCCTCCGCTGTGACAATCCTCCTCTGAGTGATGCCGCCATGCTCAGCCTTGTGCAGATGCAGAGAACAGCAGGACATGGCCCTGCCATTGTAGATGCCACGCGGGACCACTCATCATACAGGAGACAGAGGGCTGGGGGGCTGTGACTGCGTGGTAGGAAACTACATTACATTCTGTGAACAGTCTTGATAAAGACTTAAGTAATTTGTGCTCTTTTGTTTTAGTTGCAGGTGCCCTGGACATTTCCTTTAACAGAATTATTCCCTTATCAGGTATATATTTTCACTTTTAAAATGTGATGATGTATTTACTATGTATATCATAAGTTTGTAGTAATACGATTACAAGGCTAGAGCCATGGGCTGACCAACAGGTCACCTGTGTGCTGTCGTGCAGGGCCCTGCCAGAACCTGTGCCCCTGTGTGACAGCATGCATCCTGAGGCTGACACGGCAACCAAACACTAAAATGTGACTCCCGAGGATGCAGTCTCGTGTGGTTTTGCCCACTGGTAGTGTAGTGTTCTCTAAGCGGGAACTAACACATGGAGGCACGCGGGAGTTACTTCTTGGAGTAAATGTTGCATGGGTAGGAACCTTTCCAAGAAGAACCATTATCTCCCAAGAAGCCTTTTCCCATTAAATGTGTTTTGAACTCAATATGGTGTACTGCACTGATGGTGTCAGATGTGCTGGATGTGCAGTTAGAGAAAACCATGCTCCCGAAAGTGGAGACTGTATTTGTGTGTCTCAAGAATGCCTAGAAGACATGAAATCTGTCCGAAGTGAGGCGGTTCTAAGAAATTAGAAGCCTTGAGGAGGTGGGTGGCAGCGCAAAGCCTTGTTGGGTGGTGTCTAACTTCAAGTCTGCTTAACCTGCAGAGCCTGCCCCAGTGCCGCCGATCCCCAATGAGCAGCAGTTAGCCAGGCTGACCGATTACGTGGCTTTCCTTGAGAACTGACTTATGTTTGAATTCAAGATCCACCTTCAGAATCCTGTCCACTGACAGAGAAATGTAAAAATTTTTATTTTCAATTTACTGGATGGATTAAGCACCTCAGCATTCCTTACGGAATATGTGATAAAATGCATATATAATATAAAGTATATTATATATATTTTGTCCTTAAGCATTATGCTGAATAGTTGAGGCAGTTCTCATTTTGTAACATGTAACAATTTGGCTGGCGCTGTCAGTATTATGCAGTTAGTTGATATTCCCGAGTGTCTTAGGAATAAGTCTCCTACCCCAGTGCATGCTGTACTCGCATCCACACCCGAGTGGGTAGCTGTAGTGCTGCTTCCGGGGCTGGAGGAGAACTGACCCCAGGGCAGTTACCCACATGCTGGGAGCGTGAACAGCCCTTAGGAGAATAGGCTCTTCCCCACCTCCAGAGAACTGCTGAGGTAGAACACTGAAATGTAGCTGAGGAACAGATAAACATTTCCGGAGTAACCCAGTTTGTTCCCATTACAGTTGTTCCAGTAGTACGAGTATGTCCATTGCCAGCAGAGGAGGGCCTGTCCTGAAAGTGCCGCTTAGGGTGTTGATAAGAGGTAGTAAGTTTGATATCCCCTGTCAGAGGAAGGAACAAGTTAAGTGTGGAATGCATCACGGGAGGAAAGAAGCTGTTGAGAAAAGTGATGCACTCTGTACAGCTCTGCTGCTGCCTGTTGGTTGCCTCTGTTTTCCTTTCTTTTAAATTCTGCCCTTTGCAGAAGTGCTGAACAAGTCTTCATTCTTTGTGTGACAGCCCTCTGAATATTTGAAGTTACTGTATTTTCAGATTAAAATACCCCGTAGATCGTTTATTCTACATTTGTTCAATAAATATTTAATTGAATTTTTGAACTGTCATCCGAGGTGGTTTTTAGAAATTTAACTATCTTGTTCTTTCTATGGACACGTTCTAGTTTGTCTCTGCCTCTCAGAATAAGACTTTCTTAATCAAATAGAAAGGACCTATATCGTGAGTCTGCATAGTGATACTTTATTTTTGTTCACTTTATTGGCTGTTTCAGGGTTGTTTTTTTTTAACATGGAAATATCTTTTCAATGTCAACTTTATTTACTCTGATGAGTAATATTATTTAAACTTATTTTACAAATGAAGAAATGGAAACTTAAGAAGCCAGGGGTCAAGCCCGGCGTGGTGGCGCATCCCTGTAATCCTAGCACTTGGGAGGCTGAGGCATGAGGATTGCTGTGAGTTCGAGACCAGCCTGGGCTGGTGAGTTCTAGGTAAGTCTCAACTACATAGTAAGATCCTGCCTCAAAAAAACAAAAAAAAGGAAGCCAGGGGTCAATAGCAAGAGTGGTGATGCCAGTTTTTAACTTCCATGTATTCAGAACAAATTGAGTGCCTGGCAGATTAGAGTCAGCCCAAATGTTCAGAAGAGGATTGTTGGAATAATACAGTTTTTGTTTCATGTACTCTGTGACTCAAAGGAGTGAAGATTGCTGGCAGCTCACATGGAGTGAGCGCTGAATGAAAACAGAAATCACAAGTCACTCATGTGGTAACTGCGGGAAACAGAGGGAGAAAGATTGCCGTTGTGGATGCACGTACGTCCATTTCTGTTTCAGAAGCAACTGTTTATGGATAAACCAAAGACGTAAAAAGGGTTCTCTAGAGAGAAAGAAGACAGTGAACTACATAAAGAAGGACATCTGACTACTGAATAGGGCTTTGTGGTTAATTTTACAAAGTAATTTTGCATCACGTTAAAAGTATGTTCTAGAATAAAATTAGTAATTACGTAGCATTTTTAGAAGTGAGCAATCTTAAATTTGACCTTGAGGCTTATGATTTACTTTTTTTTTTGTAAATAGTAAATATTTCTGATCTTTATGCAACTGAAAATTCTGTTTCAGCAGTAACAAGCATCACTAGTACTAATTGTGGTGTCTAGATTCCATTTTGACCTGGAAGGAATAAGAAATTATTTGCACAATCGTGACTACTTGGTGTAGGGCAATAAACCTATAAGGTGATGTAGTTCGCCCAGATCAAGGAAGTTTTCAAAGACCCAGGCTTCTATCAAAAGGTAGAGAAGCCAACTTGGAAGGGCTCTCACTGGCCAAAAATGAGACAGTTTCAGCATGAAAAATTAAATGATTTTATCTTTTTACCTACACTGAAATAACCTCAGCATTGTACAGAAGTGGAGGATTAGTGCTTCATTTCACTGCCTTACATATTTGTCAGTCTTTGGAATAACAGATTGATACACCAGCCATCTCCAAGAAAATAAACCTGAAAGATGATCAAATGGCTAATAATGGAAAATTCTTTATGGAAGAATTTCATCTAAGAAGATGGAAAATAGCACTTTGCAACCCACCAAGGAAACAAGCGCCAAGACCATGAAGACAAAATGGGATTGTACATAAAATGTGTCCAACATAACCAACAGCCCCTCTTATTCCCTGGCTGTTTCTGCAGCAAGCAGCTGCCTGCCAGTAGACAGACTGCACCCTGCTGCAGGTCTATTGCGTTGCTTCTGGGACAGTTGTCAGCCAGGCATCCAGATGTGGGTCATGGCAGTGCCCACCCCCACTAGCTCAGAATGCAGCCAGCTGTAAAACCTACATAGGGGGATGGGAGGAGAGAGGGGCTGTGCCCCTCCTGCCTCAGAGGAGTGATGGAGATGGTGGACCATGCCTGAAGTGTCTGCTCCTAGGTCGAAGCACTTAGAGGTTCACAATTGTGCCAAGAGCTACAGAAAATGAATTCTTACCATAATCCTCTAAAGGCATTAGTCTTTAAAGGAGCAAGGAGTAGAGAAGCTGAGACCGAGAAGAGAGTGGAACTACAAAAAAGTCATTGGCAGCAGTACTTCCAGGGAGCATGTGCTAGTTCTGTGTAGCAAGAGCATGGCTTTGCCTGGACAGCACTCCATGCTGCAGAATCTAGCAGCCTGTGGGATCTGGGCACCTTCAGGGGTTAGGGCAGTACAAACAGAAACCTGACAGGGCTAAATTGCCTGCTGTTTGTCCTTTAAGACACCTTGTGAACTCAAGCTGCTTGGGGTAGGAGGCTAGAACTCCAGAACCTTTGAGAAACATCCTGGATTTCCTCCCATTTTGTTGTGCATGGGGCTTCCTTCAATACAAAAAGCTGGAGGTTGTTGATGCTCCTAAGTATGAACCAGAGATAGAACATACTAAAACTACAACTGGAAAGCAGTTGAGTATAAAATATTCTCACTGAAGCAACACAGTGGAACTTAATGGGAGAGAATATTAGAAACATGTTATACAGCACTGATCTATCATCTTTCTATTCATTGGAATCCAAGGAGGCAAGGGAAAATAGGAAAAGAAATACTAGGAAATACCCAGATTTTCTAAAACTGATGAAAATCCATAGAATGTAAATGCAAGGAAAAGCATACCTGTATTCATCATAAACAAACTAATGAAAACTGATGACACAGAATTCATTAAAAGCAAAAGGGCAGGCTGTGGGGTATTCTTTTCAGAGAAGCAACAATAAAGCCAGACAATGAAATGGCATCTTTAGTGTTGAAAGAATAACCTACCTCCAGAGATTCACTTCCAATCTTCCTGGGTTATTAATGTTTAAAATTGGAGAAAGATGCAGCTTTGGTAATGCTAAAGTAGACTTCAAGGCATGACCAAATTTTATTTATTTGCTACTGGGGTTCGAACTTGGGTCCTTGCATTTGCGAGGCAGGCAGTGGAACCACTGAGCTAAATACCCAGCCCAGCATGACCAAATTGTAGAACATAGAAAAGTATGTCTAATGAGAAAGTTTGCACTTCTTTTACTGGCTACCTATTGCTGCTGTAACGTTACTACAAAATTAATGGTTTAAAACATCATGGCTATAGTATCTGACAGTTCTGCAGTAGAAATCCAAAATGGGTCTTGCCTGGCTACCATCAGCTTGTCAGCAAAAATGTCATACAAATAAACCAACAAAACTGAAAATAGGGGCTTTGAAAAACTTAACAAAATCAATAAAGCCCTATCAAGACTAATGAAAAAATGAGAAAACACAAATTACACATACCAATAATTAAAATAAAAATTATTAGTAGGATATTGTGATCAATTTTATGCCAGCAAATGTGAAAGTTTTAATTAAATGGACAAATTCTTTGAAGATACAGCTTAGCAAAATTGAAAATGAATCTCAACACTTTTTAGCTTCTCAGGAGAGTGGCTTGGTTATTGAAATCTTCCCTACAAAAACAACGCCAAACCCATAGAGGGTTTTCTGGAAAGTTTGTCCATTTATGAAAGAAACAGCAATAATTTTATAATTTTTTTTCCAAATAATAGAGTAGGGCAATTGGCAATTGATTTAACAAGGCCAGAATGTTATAAGAAAATTATAAATCAATACACAGCACAGATGAAAATTCGCTGTAAAATATTCAAATTCAGCAAAATTTCAAAAGATTGTATGACCAGGTAGAATTTATTCTAGGGTTGAAAAAGCAGTAAAACTCATTGCATTTGAATTACATTAGAAAATCAGAACAATCATACAATGCAAGAAAAACACTTGATAAAATTTAACACTCATGACAGTTCACTAAGAATAAAAGAGAATGCCATTTCTTTCCAATAAGAAAGCCAGGAGAAACTGACAGCAACATCCACATAATGGTGGATTATTGCAAGCATCCCTCAGATACTGAGATCAAGACAGGAAGGCCTATCGCCTCCTGCATTCAGAGTTGTCCTGGAGATCCTTCTAGTGAATGCATAAGGCAAAAAAGACAAAGCACATGCTTGCCATAGAAGGAATTTTAGATTTTTGCAGAGAATCTGTTGTGTCTGGCTGACTAAGCCAATGATTTGTAGAGTGACATCCCATGAAGCAGGCAAGAATAACATCCAAGGAAAGAACAATTACTGGAAAACTACAAAGAACAGTTAATAAAGAGCTAGGAATCATCTAAGGTTTTCCACCTAGAGTGGAAAGACGTCAATGAATAAGTGAGGCAAACCACTGGGAGCTTCAGGAAGGTCATGCCTCAGTAGTGAAACCAAATAAGCCTAAAATATAGGCAATTATGGATCCTTGATACAAGAGCTTAAAAGAGCTTCAAAACAGCTAAAGTCACAAGTCACAAAACTGGCTACCAGGAAAAGTACAAAAGATTTTAAGGTACATTTCAAAATAACCCATCCAAAACATTTATGGCATGTCTGTCAAATAAAAACAGCATGTCCTTATCCACCCTATTCACTGGATCTGGCACTATGCAACTTCTGGATCTTCACCAAAGTCAAAACGACCACAAATGGGAAATGTTTGTAATCAATTCAGGATATGTTGCACAATTAAAGACACTCAGGAATGAAGACTTCCAGAGCTGCTTCAGAAAGTGTCAAGAATGATGGGATGAGTGTATTTGAAATGAGAAGGAGTACTGTACTGTGAGGGGGATTCAGGGTAATATGTCTCTTCTGTAAGAAAAATATATTAAAATTTAAACATTCACTATTTTTTTATCATGTCTCATACATAAAACAGAAGACTTAGTATCATCTTGTGGGTCTAGTTGACAATTCCATAGAATATTCTGCCCCAAAAAACCAAATATACGCTCGGTAAAACAGTCACAGGGCCACAAAGCAAGTTTCAGTATATTAAAAAAAAAGTTTGAAATCATACATCATGGTGTTCTGTAACCATTGTAGGAATTTTAGAATCAAGTTAGAAACCAATAATCAAAGATATACAGAAGGTACCCCATAACTCAGCAGTTTTAAAATATAGTTCTTCTAAATAATGTGTTTCAAAGAAAAAATTAGAAGGGAAGCCAGGAAATATTTA